ACACCCCTCGTGACATTATGGAGGCAGATGGAGCGGCGGTGCCGGGACTCGGGGCTCGATTTGTTCCACTTTAACAATGAAAGAGGCGTGGAGGTAAATATTGTTTACACTATGGCATCTATTAGAGAGCTATACGGTACACAACAGCAGTGTGCGCTATCATTTAAATGTCAAATGATTCAAAATCTGCCCCGCCTCGCAATAACCGCATCACTTGTGAGGTCGAGCAGTCGGAGATTTGCTCTTCTGTAAAATATAAACTGTCAGTTTAGCTTTGGTGAAACAGAAAAATAGGTCCCACAGTAGAAAATCAAGATCTCACTCATTTTTCAGTTCACTGGCAATTTATTCTGTGTGACGCTTTGATGCAGGCCTGTAAACCATCGGTCCAAACCTGAGTACGTTCTAGTGTTCACAGGTCATTTTACAACCCTGTTTGTGCTTTTAAGTTAATTAGAAATAACAGGTTTACTCAGAAATCCTGTGATTACTAAAACTAACTTGTGTGTCAGCAATCACAAGTGCATTCATTTTAACTGCACCCAGTGTCTTGTTTGGGGCCTGTGATTTCCATTTGATCTGACATTTAGCTGATGTCGCCAGTCATTTAGAAGACACCACGTCCCGATACAACTACGATGTGCTTCGTTCAGTCTGTAGTAGTGTCTGTAAATCACGAAGAATTTTTAAAAATGTAAAAGTTTAACAAAGAACGCCTTTAAATCCAGCAGGGCCGGCGAACTGGTGCAGTCCTCCGACTCCCCCCCTCGCCTCCGCTCAGATCTCCTCCAGTAAAATATGCAGCATGTTGTCGACTGACTTGTTTCCTCGGCTGTGAAACGTTCCGCTCTCTTCCAGGAGTCCTGCTGTGACATTAGATGCATGTAGATTGATAATCGACGGGGGCAAACATAATTACATCGCCTTAGAAATTAATGAACGCATTGATCGCCCACTCTAAACATAATCAGCATATTTTTTTTTTCTTTTTCTTTAAGCCGCTGAAAATCTCGAGTGACGGGCCTTGATTACATCACAGCTTGCAATATTACTGCGGTTTTCACCACAGTTAGTTCTTTCAAAGATCTTGCCAATACTTGTGGGGAGGGTTTTAAACACTGATGTTGTTGGCACCTTTGAAGTGCCTTTCAGTGTCCAGATGTAAATTCATGCGGGGGAAGAAATGTGATAAGCTAATGACGTCTCAGGGGACAGGAGGGAATATAACCAAGGGATAAACATATCTGCAAATCTGAGTTGTGTTTTTTTTTTTTTTTTTTCCCCTCCTTACCCTCCTTTAACACAGACTGGGGCCTGAACAGGAGCAGATGGACAGAGCTGGCTTTGATGTACTCTGGGGTCATGTGTATCTGCAGTTTTATCAAGGTACACAAGCACGCAGAGTAAATATTGCCACACCAAAAACTCTGGGAAGGTCTCTGGGCACGGCAAGGGGAATTTCCAGGGTGCAGACTGAAATATTTCTGCAGCACAGAGAAAGGTCCAATACAGATTATGTTTTTTTTGATCAAATGCAATCCATTTTACATCTAACTCCTGTTATTTTGCTCGACAACAATGAAGAAAATTAAACTAACAGGCAGGATAATGGCTTGGGGGTATTCGCCCATCTGCCTGTCTTTGGCCCATCTGAGCGTCTTGTCATTTTATCCCCATTTGCGAGCTGGAAAGAGACGTTCCATAATGCTGCACCGAGCGGGAACAGAGCGCACCGCTGCAAAAACATGTCCATCAAGGAGAAAATAAAAATAGGCTGTTTCCTCTAAATTCACTCAATCAATAATTCATGCCGCGCGGAGAAGCTTGATTTATGAAGGAATTAAATGTTGTGGACTGGGCCTCGCAACGCGGGACGGCCGTCTCGGGGACGCGGCAGCCGAAATTAAACATGAAAGGCTGAACGGCGAGAACAAGCGACTCATCTCGCGGAGGGGTTGAACGCGTTGGACTTCGATCGCACGTGCGCCCAGACAGCGAACGGTGATTTTAGACGGGAGCTTGCAGGATTTGTCGGCTGTACGTTGAAGTGGGTCGCCGGGAGTCAAACATTAATGCTGCGTGGCAACTGGAGGCGGAGATCAAAGGCAAACCTGCACCTGCTGACCTGCGGGGATCTTGTGACTCCGGCGAGCCTTTCTGACCCCGACTCTGCCGAACAGAAACACACGACATGACAGCTTTAGTGCTTTTAGAGTAGCATGCAAGTCGCTTGTATGTCCTTTCTTTCCTGTGTAAGGAAATATAAATTATAATGTCTCCACCGCTTCTTAGCAAAAGAGGCTAAAAGTGTTTTGGACCATATGTGTGGAAACAGTGCTGAACCTCCATTATTGGCACCACATAACCGACAAACAGTGTTTAAGACGTTTTTTCTCGTCTTTTCAAGCAGAAATCGGTTGTCAGTCCTTGAACTGTAATCTGCATTGTGCTGCTAAGATTGCACTTCAAAACTAGCAGGCTGGTGTGCGCTGACTTGCTAGTTAATCTGACTTCAAGTGTGTCCATGTTTACATCTTTCTGAGACTGAATGCATCACAGTGGTTGTTCCATTTCATACGTTTCCTTCAAGTGCACCCTAGAAATGCGTCCTACTTTTTTCCAGACCAAAAAAGAACAAAAAAAACCCAACTGGTGGATCTTAAACTATCCTAAGATTCATTGTGTGCCCTTGATGGTTGGATTTTAGAGACTCTTTAATCCATTTGACACAGTATTTATATTTAAAAGCGTAAACTTCAACTGCCAAAGTCTCTGCTTTGGTCGCGACTACCAACTTTGACGCAAACAGGAAGTCCTTCGTATCCCAGCCTGTTGACCACAAAAGTAAGAAGCACTACAATGAAATAGCGAAATTAAACATTAATTTTTATCTTTTGGGGAAATTTCACCAAGTATGTGCACAATTATTTTAAAATAAGTCCGTGTAACTTCGTTGAACAGCAGCCACTTTGGCAAAAACATCGTAAAGATCGGCTTCGAAGTGTTATTTGTGTGATGCAGAGATATTATAATGGGCAGACTTCACATTTAAACAATCCCTTTTGCTTGTATGACACATGCACTTCTCACTCCAAAAAGCCATTTGTCAGCTTCGCAACAGCTGAACAAGATAACATCCAGCCAATCGTGTTGTTGCACTGACTCAAGAGCAGTGTTGTGAAACTGTACACGTGAGGAAAAGTACTTTTTAAGCCCGTTTTTTTTGAGAAAAGATTACCAGAATTTCGAACCGGTTTTTGATCAGATTTGACTGCTGGTGCGGTTTGTAGGTTTATTTTATCACCATGTTCATGCTATTAAGCTATTTAGAAAACACAGGTGGACTCGATTTTGTTTCAGTAATCACAGGTCTGTTCACTTTTATTGCTGCTGTAGCTGCTAAGTCAATACTTGAAGCCTCTTTTAAGCTCCACCTGCGTGATCTTTACGACCGCTGATTGCTGCTTTATATGAATTTAAGTCCGAGGATTGGCTCCTAAAATTGTATTGAGCTCCTACTTTATGGCCTGTATTTTCATAAGAGCTGTCCTTGATTACGCTGTCGGCATGTTACGATTTCCTTTGTGACAACAACAACTTCCAACCTACCACACTGAAAATGTAACAGAGGATTTATCATCAAAACAATCCCACCTGATGCCAGATCTTTGGCTTAACCTCATCCACAATGACTGTGTTTTGTTTAGGGAGTGTTGACTGACATTGAGATGCAGCCACACCTTTTCATACGACACTATGTTCTTTCCCAGCCAGATTAATGGAAAGGGGATACAGCTCCGAACAATTTGTCTCCATGCAGTTTTTACGTCGTTTTTCCATCCTTGTGACCGTTGAATTTGCAGTTATCTCTCTCTCTGCTACTCATTTAGATAGAGGCCTGGTCCTGCTAGCATGAAATAACTGCCTGGGGGCACTACAGAGACGGTTGCCGAGTGGCGAGACTTGCCCGGAGGGACTTTGGCACAATCATTACGATGAATAAATAAAATTAAAGAGTAAAATGTCCTCTTTTGGGCACATTTGACCAAGTGTGTTCCACTGTGGCATTACATACCGACAAATAACGCTTATTATACAGTAACTGTGGCGCAAATGAGTCAGGAGCAACATCTTCCAGCTACTAATCAGATCATTTTCACTGAGCTGAGGAAATGTAATGTTTTATCTGTTGGAATAAGACGTGTGTTCCTGTCAGTAGTTTCACTTTTATTCCAGTTTGGCTTTAAAATGTGGTGGAGTTTATATGTTTGACAGCCAAACACACATGAACAAAGCTCTGCTCATTATAACATCAGCAAGCGTGTGCGCGTTTATTCTTTAGAAGAAGAAAAAAATTAAATAAATAAACCACGGGTGCGCGCGCATTAATAAACCGAGGGAGATGCGGACGAACGTGCCGGTGCGCGCTCCCGCTCCGAACAGCGGTGCACTGCTGAATCAGTAACGGCGAGAAAAGAAGAAGAAGAAGCAGCAGAGTCGTCAGATGAAATGACTGTGGCTGTCAGCGTGTGTCTGAACGCCTCAGATCACGCGCAAAAGTGCGGCCAGTCAATATGAAGCTGCGCACTTTGGGGCTGATTATCCAGCTTTAGGTTGGTGTGATTTAAAGAGAGAGGACAAAGATCAGCTAAATGAACAAAACTAAAGTGATCCTGAAAGCTTCCAGCAGGCCGGAGCTAATAAGGACTTTTGTGGCACAGTGGACGCAGGGATATAGAAGATGTGTGGTGGAGAATTTGGGGGGATTAAAATGCAAAAGGAGAAGCTGAGACTGAGGTGAAAAGGTAGGCCGGTGCAAACAGCGTGCAGGGGATCAAGTGTGTTGAGAGACAAACTATTTTCTGCAGTGTGAGGGCAGCGGGGAGGATCTGTGGCTTAAAGCCATCACGGAGCTGCTGGAGGAGATGCATTCTTCATTCTGAGGAGGAGGAGGAGGAGGAAGGAGGGACGAGAGGGGGAGAGAGAGAGAGAGGGAGAGAGAGAGAGAGAGAGAGAGGTGAGCAGAGCACACACGTCGCACTATCAACTGAATCCATCTAAGAAAACAACTCGCAGGGAGTCCGGAGCTCCGAGCTGCGCAGCCACCTAAAAGGCAAGTTTTGAGCTTCCACCTCCTTCCTCCTCCTGCGAACCAAACGGCGCAACCACCGGGACGGACGCAGCTGGTCCCCGCGTCATGGCCCGCGGCGGATCAGGCGGCGGACACTTCGGCGAGCGCGTCCTCCCCGTTCGGGCAGCAGAGTGTGGAAGAGGAGAAGTGCCTGCCGCCGCTTCCTTCGCTCCTTACGCGCCGCAGACGGTGTTGAGTTAAAGCGGGAGGAAAACGCGCACGATAATTTTTTTTAAAAAACAAGAGAGAAAGGGGGGAGATTAGAAAATTAAAAAAATAAATGGACACAAACCCAGTGGAAGGACCCATGCAGGCAAATATGCTGTTCCGTAGACTCGCCGGGCTGCTGATCGGAACCGACTCGCACCGAGCTGAGCTTTACGCACGGTCATACAGCGGGACCGCATGAAGGACGGAGGCGTAAAGAAAAGGGGAAAAGTTGAATGCGGTAGCGGGGTTTGCGATGGATAAAGGCTCGTCAAAGGTAGGCTGGATGTTTCTTAATAAACCCGAAGCTGGTTAGAAATAAGCTCAGGCCTGAGTTGCATATAAATCGGCCACTTTTTTCCCCCCATGAAACAGAGCACAGAAACCTTGAGCAGGGATCCTTGTAACGCACATCCACCTATGGAACTCAAACATCCCCACAAAGACACCCTCATACCCACTCACTTTACCTTTTTTTTTTTTTTTAGATTATTTAAAACGCTCCAGCAATTTAGTTGTGGGTTAATTAGATATTTCATCGAGTTAAGGATTACTGCGCTCCACATTTTCTTTTTTTTTTCTTCCCCACCCGAGAGAAAACCTGACTTTTTTTTTTCTTTCCCTCTCAATGCACTGCACGGTTTTCAATTCCCCCCTTTGAAATAATTCATTCAAATGAACACCGCTCACTGGGCAGCCTTTGAAGTCTTACCTGATCCGCCTCTTATCGCCTCTTAAACACTCCTATCCATTTTAAACTTTTTAATTGCGTTTCTGTCGCTAAATCCACTTCTAATCGGATTGTCCTGGCCACATATCACAGCGTTCATCTGGTGGTGAGAAACTGTGCTCCCTGGACTGGAAATTAAATTTAAAAAAAAAAGAAGAAGAGAAAAGAGGAGGGTGGGGGGTGAAAGTATTTTTTTTCTTTAAGTCACTTTCTCTCCTACATCACTTTTGGTGTTACCAGGTAAACTTGTGCTTCAGTCATTTGGATTCTCGGTGACATTTTATTTATGCAGCTATAATAATCTTGATGCTGCTGCCTTCTGCTGTTGATTCTGCCGCTGTGGCAGCACATTTTATCACTTCATGTGGTTGCTTATCCCCCCCTCCTCTCTCTCTCCGTCACCACCTCCCCTGAAGCTTATTTGATTAAATTTAGCTCTTTCAATTTAGAAAAGTAGATCAGAGAGTGTATGTGTGTGTGTGTGTGTGTGTCAAAGGATTGTTTCTCCATCTCCGCCACAAAGAGCCCCATGCAGGCTTCCATCTAGTCAACAAACAAGGCTGGGAATGTTAAAGAAGAGGGGCTACGAAGGCTAATACATGGAGAGGGAGTGGATTTTTCTTGTCTTTACACAATATAGCTCTCTGCCAGTCACGGCTGACGGTTGTAATAAATCAGATTTTATTTTTTTTTATCAGAAAAATAAAATGCCCCTCTCCCCTCCCCTCCCACCTAAATTGGTATTCTTGTCTGAATTGTGCGGCTCCAGACCCCCGCAGGAAGCCTTAATCCACACTCACGGTCGCCCCTGTGCTTAACATTCAACCCATCGTTTCCCATCATTGTGTCATCCAGCGTTGACTCAGGGTGGAGCTCCAGTTAAGCTGAAAGCTACAGATGACAACGGCTGTCTTTCAATCATGTTGGAGAGGAGACGAGAGGGAGGGCGATGTTTGATGGCTCATAAAAGTTGGAATAATGGATCTGTGGCTTCTACTGTAATCCGATGGCCTTGTGCTTTACTACGAACCTCTCCGTGCTGAAAAACAGCCCCGTATCGATCATTTATCGCAGGTGGAGGGACTAAATTATTTTCCAATCCCATTTCATTTGACAGCTCGTGTATGTCACTCCAGGCGGAGGAGGAGGAGGAGGAGGAGGAGGAGGCGGCGTTGATTCGCGGCGTCTCTATTCCTCGACTGCCTCTCCTTTGTTTTGTAATCTCCACCAGCCTTAAGTCTTGAGTTTGACGACGGTGGGTTCAGGCCTGCACGTAATAACGAGCTCCTCCTCGGGCCACCGGCAGAAACAATCGCCTCTGTTTACTGTAAGCGCTTGTGTGTTTACTCGTGTACCTCTGCCCACTATGTCTGCTCAAGCAGCTGGAAAGAAGGAAAAAAAAAAAAGCAGTAGCAGCTTGTTTTTTGCTGTATTGTTGTGTTTTTTTTTTCTGCTGCCCAGGAAATATCTTCCATGTTGGCACACCAAGAGCTGATGTCTTTATGAGTCTTATCTTATTTTAGCATGTTTTCCATTAGGCGACAGTGATGTTGCTGAGAATCCTTGTGAATCCATGAGTGTGTGTCCTTGCAGTGCTCTATTACCTCCTTTGATAGAGCGCAGGGGGATAAAAGCCTTCTTTATGTCTGTGAAACCGGATGTGCAAGAGCTGTTCTGAATATTTATCAGACTCTTTTTTTAACATAGCCAGTGCATAATTTGACATGAGCAGTGAACGGTATGTTTTGTGACTCTGTCTTTCTGTTTGGGGGAGAAGGAAAGAGTGAGAACGAAGGCAGGACGGTTGGTGTGTGTGTGTGTGTGTGTTTGTATGTTAAATAAAGAGACAGAGCAAAAGAGGGAACAGAGAGGCCCCTTTTTTCCGAGAACAGGCCACCCCTGAAAATACTCATCTAGCTTTTCTTTGTTTTCCCACAGGTCTGTGGATCCAAATGTCACCCCCCTTGGACTCTGCCCTGGTCGGGGACCAGCAGTGTGTGACGGACAGGCGAGCGGAGCCTGCGGTGGCTCTCTTACTGCGTGGCTTCAAATTGGCCCTGGCTGAGCTCTGCATGGAGCAGCGAGTGAAGAGTCCTGCTATGGTCTGATGTCTCAGCATGGATGGAGTCAGTCAGAGGACTGGCCACCACTAATGAGACCATCGCTCTTCAGCTGAGGACTAGCATTTACAGGATTACTCCCACGGTTTCCTGCTCTTTCCCCAGCTAACTGCATCATTACCAAACTGTCCTAGGTGGACTTTTCGTGGCTCTGGTTTTTGGTGGATATATACGTCATTGCCTTTCTGATTTTCATATTTGTTTTTTTGTTTTTGTTTTTTTTTTTGTTATTGTTGGTTTCCATTTTCCTGTTTTGTTTTTCCACTATGGAGTTTCTGGCTGGACCCTGGAATAAGGATTGGGCTTCATTCTTGCAGTTTTGGTTGACTGTCATCCTAAGCCTCCAAATGCAGTTCAGCCCGGGTGCCTCTTGCCCGGAGGAGTGTCGTTGTGACAAATCGTTCGTGTACTGCAACGAACGCAGCCTGACATCAGTGCCTCTGGGGATACAGGAGGGCTACAAGGTCCTCTACCTACACAACAACCAGATCAACAATGCTGGCTTCCCTATGGAACTTCATAATCTGGTCTCCGTGGAGACTGTGTATCTCTACGGCAACCAGCTGGATGAATTCCCTGTCAATCTGCCCAAAAACACCAAGATCCTGCATCTCCAGGAGAACAATATCCAGACGATCTCCAGGGCAGCCCTGGCCCAGCTGACTCAGCTAGAGGAGCTGCACCTGGATGATAACTCCATCTCCACAGTGGGGGTGGAAGAAGGGGCCTTTAGGGAGGCGGTAAGCCTCAAACTCCTCTTCCTCACCAAGAACCACTTAAGCAGTGTTCCCATTGGCCTTCCTGAGGACCTGAAGGAGCTGCGGTTGGATGAGAACCGCATTGCTGTCATTGCAGAGGAGGCTTTCCAGAATGTGACACGCCTGCAGCGCCTCCTGCTGGACGGGAACCTGCTGACGGACGAGGGCATCGCACCAGGGACCTTCCAGGGCCTGGCCACCCTCCGTGAGCTGGCCCTGGCCCGCAACTCTCTCACCTTCCCCCCTCCCCTCCTGCCCAGTCAGTCACTGATCAAACTCAGCCTGCAGGAGAACCAGATCGACCAGATCCCTGTGGCGGCCTTCGCTGGTCTAAACAGGCTGGAAAAGCTGGATATTTCCACCAACCAGCTTCAGACACTGACGCAGGGCGTGTTCGATGGCCTGTCGAGCCTGAGGCACCTCATAGTGCGAAACAACCCGTGGCGCTGCGACTGTGCCGTGAAGTGGGTGGTGGTGTGGCTCAAGTCTTTGCCTTCCTCCATCAACGCCCGGGGCTTCGTGTGCTCGAGTCCGGAGAAGGTGCGTGGCATGACAATCAGAGAGCTCACGCTGGATATTATCGAGTGTCCCGTTTATCCCGACCAGCCGCCCTGGCCCACCCTCCGCTCCACACCCCCTCCCCCACCCACCACCACCCCTGTCACCACCATGATCTCCACCCTCATCACCACATCCGTCCCTTACTACTTCGACTCCCCCTCCCCTCCTCTACCCCCAATCCATAACCCCCCAGGGCCCCTGCCTCCTTACGAGGACCCCCTTCAGATCTCCTTCCACGTGGTGAACTCCACCAGTATCGAGGTGAGCTGGGCTTCCTATTTCACCGTCACAGCCTACAAGGTCACTTGGGTCAAAAGGGGCCAAAGCCAAATAAACGAGGGGATGCGGGAGAGGACGGTGAGCGGGGACCGGCGGCACATCAGCCTCACCAACCTGGAGCCGCGCTCGGTGTATCGGATCTGCGTGCACGTTCTGGACACCCTTAACTCCTACAGGCCCGGAGAGGATACTGTGTGCTCCGAGGCCAGGACCAAGCCGCCTGCGTCTACTAAGCCTCCCGGCAGAGAGCAAGCTCCTCAGGACAGCATCAACTCCACGCTGCTAATGGCTGGGATCATAGGCGGCGCGGTTCTTATCATCCTGGTAACGCTGCTCGGCCTGTTCTGCTGGCACATGCACAGGAAGAGCCGGTCGTCTTCGACCAAGTGGAAATACAACCGCGGCAGGAGAAAAGACGACTACTGCGAGGCTGGAACCAAGAAGGATAACTCCATTCTGGAGATGACTGAGACCAGTTTCCAGATAGTGGCGCTGAACAATGAGCAGCTGCTCAAGGGAGATTTCCGCATTCAGCCCATCTACACGCCCAACGGGGGCATTGGATTTAGAGACTGTCACCTCAGCAACAACAGCATAGCCTACTGCAAGAGCAGCAACGTGCCCAGTACAGAGTTCTGCCACACGTGATGCAGCAGCGCACAGTACAACGGCAATCACACATACACACACACACACACACACACACAAACACCAGAAACACTCGCATACAGACACACACATACACCGTTTGTGTAGACAACAAAAAATATAAAAATTCTAGTGAAATATAACTGTACTATATATATTTCCAAGTTCTGTCTACGATGTAATTTATACTGTGGATAATAATGTGGGATTCTCTGCTATCTTTTTTATTCTTAGAAGAAGAGATACAAGTGTTTCTTTTTTTATAACCAGCAGGGTTTTGAAAGTTGTTTTAATGGTCAGTACTGTACATGAACATGGATTTGTACAATCACGGCACCCTGGGTGTAGCTTCTGACAAAAACGCTGTCAGCCTTGGAAATGTTGAGGGGGGGGACGCTTCAGAGGGCTGGGATCCTTTGCTAACCACAGAAGCAAAAATATGGCCTTTTTTTTGCGCTTTGAAACCCTGCAATCCCTCCCCGGTACAAGAGAACAGCGGTAAAAGACAACACAGCACAGGGGAAATCCAAACACTGCTGATTAGAGCGCTGTGGAAATACAGCAGTGGTGTTGTAAAAAAGAATCGAAGTGCACTTTCTTATTAATGGTAGCAAGGCAGGAAGTGAGCGATCGCGTGTAAGGGATTGTGGAAGGCCGTGAGGGGAGAATGTCATCGGCGCTGTCGAGAAGCGTAGGCTGAGATTTCCCAAAAGTAACGCTAAAAGCATCTTTGTTCTGTTAGTTTACAGTGGAATGAAGGTGGGATTAGTCAGGAGGACGCTGTTGGGGAAGAAAAAGAAAGGACGTGCCATTTTCAGCAAATTCAATTATTAACACGAGCGTTAAAGCAACAAAGGGTGATTGGGGCTAATGAGGTGCTGAGACTTGCAGATCCTTTTTGGAAAGTTTCTACTTTTTTTTCCCCCCTCTTGTTTTGGCGAGTGAGGCCACAAGGGGGCAGTTTTCCTCAGCACCACATGTGTGTGTGTGTGTGGGGCAGAGGAAGAGAGGGCAGAGTGATCACTTTACCTCCACCATTCCCCTGGAGCCCATTACCCAGACGACATTACTCATGCTCAAACAGCATTGTGTAGAGTATTCTTGCTCATCGAGCTACTTAATGATGTGGAATCATTTAAAACTAACAGTGTTTTCCGCGTTTGGTGGCTAAATGATATGGATTTTCACCACTGTGGTCTGCTGTGAGACGACGGTTCCTCCCTCTGTATACGTGTGTGTGCGCGAGAGAGAGACGTGATGGATTTGCAGACGGCTCGCACATAATTATACACCCACTTATTTCATCCCAGTCCCGGCGTTCATTAGACTTTCTGATAAATTATGAAATTACAACAATAAGATGGCGCCCCGCCCCCCGATCGCCTCATCAAGCTCCTCCGTCATTTATCCTTTCATCCACGCTCTCCAAAAACGGCCTGCTTCATTCACGCTTTGCTCACCTGAACAATGCACCTTCTGCAAGGCTGACTCTCGCTCGGTCTGCACACATTTTCTGTCCCTGCCTGTGTCTGACTCCGCACTCTGATCCCTGCATGGGCTCAATTAAAACAGTTTCCCTGCCCTTCAGCTCGTAGGCTGTGGTGGCAGCTCTTTGCATGTGAGGTGCCAGTGAGAGGTCTTCATTATGCACCTCTTAAGAAGACTTTATTTGACTTGACATGATTTTATTTTGAGGGCCCGAGCTTAAAAGAAACCCCCCCTCCTTTCCCTCCCTCTTCCCATAATCCTCAACCAAAAAAGGGAGAAAAATATGTAGACCTTATTTTCACTTGGCTGCATGAGGCTCACGCTGGGTTTTTTAACTCTTTGCGCACGGATTCAGCTGCTCGAACACACTGTACACGGCAGACAAACCGGGCTTAAAGCAGAACCATTTTTCAAGGGCTCGTACTCGTGTTATTCCAGAGTGTCGGGATTATCTTCTGAGAGGATTTTACCTCAGCTGTCGGAGTATCTTAAAAAAAAAAAAAAGTAGCTGCACTTACTGTATTTCCAGCAATAGCTCAGATCACGATCACATGGACTTTAATTTGAGACGTCCCCCGGCCTCGGTGCTTAAAACCCCGTTTAACCATTAACGAACACGATGGAAGAAGTTAATCATCTGTCTTAACGTGTCATTTAGTGTCGTATTATGTCGTGAAACATTATTTTTATTACGAGTTGGTTTCATGTTTTTAGAAGCAGTTTGGGATATTTTGAAAGGACAAACTCTACTGAGAAGATATTTAATGCAGTAGTTTTATGAGCGTTACCTGAGAAGATCGATACCACTCTGATGTCAGTATGCTAAACATGAGGCCTAGCTTAGCATTAAGGCTAGAAACAGCTAGCCTAGCTCTGTCCAAGGCTAAGACAACATTTTAGCCGTTGTGTAAAAAAACAAAAAAAGAGCTATCATATGTGCTAATTAGTGAGTTTTGAAGGTGCTGACAGGTTTGGACAGAACTAGAATGGCTGTTTTACTGCATATTTATGGCTAAGCTAACCGGCCAAAGACTGTATCAAGAGATGGACGTAGCATTCTGAAAAGTGATGCAAATACAAAAGTGACTAAAACCTGCAGCTAGCAGGAAGCGGTGGCTCTGGTTACAAAACGAGGTCAGGTTGTCTGTTAGAAAATGACTCGACTTCTCACTAACCCCAACGATACAGACATGAATTTTAATGATTATCTCATTACTTGGTGGTGTCTTTGCAAAATGTCAAACTGTTCTTTTAAGTGGAAAAAGAAAAAAATCGTGACATTTTTACACATCCGTTTTGTGTAAAACAAATGTGATCTAATGTGCTAATTAGTGAGCTTTGGAGGTCCTGGTGGGTCTGGGATGGCCCTTTTTCCAGCTAAGCTAAGCAGCCACAGATTGTATAGAACAGATGGATGTAGCCTCGGGGTGACTTCAACCTGCGTGCTTTCTAACAGCCAGCAGGGGGCGACTCCTCTGATGGCAAAAAGGAGTCAGATTGTGTAGAAGTCCATGAGAAAACGACCCTAACTTCTCATTTGATTTGTTCAGTCAGTAATCAACAAATGATTATTTTCTCATCAATCTGTTGATTGTTTAGTCGATAAAATGTCAGAAAACGGTGAAAAATCTGCATTTCTTCGAGCCCAAGATGAAATCCTCAAATGTCTTGTTTTGTCCATAACCCTTAATATTTATCTTAATTTAATAAGCTGGAATCCTTGAGGTTTGACTTTCTTGTCCTATAGAATTACTCAGACCAAATAATCGATTTTCAGAATAGTTAGCAATGAATTCCGTAGTTGACAATTAATCCATTAGTGGTCTCCACTTGGTAAACATTTTCTTAATGAAGTTATTGACTCAGTTGCTAATTTCAAGCCTCCTGCAGGACAGCATGATGCTAATGTTGTAGATTATGGTTCCATTTAGACTAAAATAGACGATAGAGCTGTGTGTTTCAGAGCAGGACTACGTTGTTCGTAGTGTCCCAAAGCTCCACCCTTGGCTCAGCACGTTTGGTTGTCAAAGGCTGAGGCGGCAAAACACCACAGATGCTACGTCCATCTTTACAAACAGTCCATGCTCTTAGTTCTAGCGTCATATTTACCACACGGACATGAGAGAGGTAACGATCGTGTCATTACTCAAAACGACAGGCGAAAATGGAAAGTTCATTTGTGCTGCCATCACTGAATACGGTACACCTCACCTCAACTAACATACATGAACAGTTTGAATGGTTTATGTTGGGTTTATTAATATCTAGAACTTCTGTGGTTATCAAAGCATCTCCACTTTTTATTTCAACCTTTTTTTCTTTTTTTGTTTTTCTACTAATATCCACATATCAGCCACATCCAAAACACCCACCGTCCGTGGAGACGCACCGGGCCGCCCTGCCCTGCGCTTAGATCAACCCTGCTGAGCGTCTAGCCGACAGTTCATCGTGTGGTTTCGCTTCATGCTGCACCAGCTGACCATAATCCCACGCAGCGACACTTGAACATGTACAACTGATACTGTTTCTTTTTTTTTTTTCGTTGCTGTTTTTATTTTTCGTTCTAGATAAGAAAAAAAAAAAGAAATAAAAAAAATAAAGAGCCCTATTTTAAGTCACTTGTGGATCAAGCAAGTCAGGTCAAACCATTGCAACGTATAGCATCTCCCCTGTCTGTGAATGTGTAACGGAGACAGATATTTGCCTTACCTTTTATGCAGGACTGAATGATTAGAGGGAGTTTAAGTGGGAGGAAGAGAAAGGATGAGACATAAAGAGACGGCAACAAGAACGCTGAACTGAAAGCACATTTCTCCAACCGACTGCAGCAACAATAACGGGAAGAGCAACACAAAGCGTGACACACACAGTAGCTAAACGAGAGACTCCGTAGTGCCAGAAATTAAGCGGTGCATGGCTAATGATTCAAGCAGACTGGGAAGGAGCTGCGGCGGCGGTTGTTTCGCAGCGTATATTACTCTTAATTTTGATGAAAGGAGGCGGCTGCAGCGCCGTGACCAATGGAATTACACAAAAAACATATTACAGACTGCGAGCGTACGGTTTTATTACTGTTTCAGGGTGCCGAGAAGTAATTTCCCCTTAAAGCTCATTGATTCGCGTTGAAATAATTATGTTTAATCACTGAGACAGACGGAACACATGAAACTGAATAGGTTTAAAGTCACCTTTTTTCCTTCCTGCAGGCTGCAAATATCTATTAGCCAGTGATATTCATTCAAGAAATTTTTGCATGTACTGTATTTAGCTTCATAGCCTTTCATTTTTTTTTTTTTTTTTTTTGTCACAACAGGGTTTGGACTTTCAAATCTTTTTTTTTCTTTTTTTTTTCCGAGAGGTGGTTATGAAACAGCAACCACACACTAAGGTTTTCATGTGGTTTAGTGGAAGCAGGCAGGAAATTTACAGTGCATGTAAAATGGCTATGTTTGGGATACTTTGCCATCCTGGCTTCTGGATTCTCATCGAGACACTGCAGTGTTACGTTAGCCATCCACACCGAGACGTTTTTCTTAGGAACCAAAGTTTAAAAAAAATTTCTGTTCTCATGATGAAATATTGATGTTGTTCCATGTATGTGCCTTGAGGTTGAACTTACAATGTAAAGTCCTTGAAACCTTTAAATGTTTTTGCACAAACTGTAAATACTTAAGTGAAGCTTTTTGAAAATAAAAGAGCCATTGGATTTGAGCGATCACTCCTTTTCGTTTTTGGAAAGAAGAAAAAAAAGAAGGTGCTCCCATGAGTGATCCTGCATTCTTTGTCTTTTGACATTTTTTTGTACAGAAGCACAGGCCTTTGCTCAGGCTATTTTGGGTCAGACACTAGCAATTCTGGGTCATAGATTTGTGCTGTACCAAACCATGCCAAGTTATCCTCTTATTTCTATACGGGAAGCTTGAGACATCTTAGCGTAGCCACCGCAGCTTAGCGTTCAGCTGGGGAAAATCCAGGATACTCTCTCCTTCCACTTGTATGGCACAGCTAAATCCCAGAATGGGCTTTTTTTTTCTCCCAATCCCTGTGTTTTACCAACTTTTTTTCCCCCCACATGACCGCATCCCAGTGTTGCCTTTTGCAGCCTCCAGCCCGCTGAGAAACCCACATTAGCCCAATCTTAATTCACTATGACAATTAACCGCAGCTGCAACACAAAAGGGTGTGCCGCTTTGGTATTTTGAGCGGGAAATTGGTATATTTCTCCAAATCCCTCAAATGTCAAAATGTGATTTGTTATTGCACAATTGCAGGCTTCACGTGGAGGCCAACAGGGTAAAGCCAACCCAGGCTTTGGCACTCAAATCGTCTACTTTGCTGTTCTGCCCTCATTCTGCGCGAGAGCCATGAATGATTTAGTGCCTGATCTCACCCCAGTGCATTCATCAGGATCGGGTTGTAAGTTCATCTCCAAGTTTGTGCTAAGCTAAGTTAGAAACAAATTATTTACTCAACTTTGCTGCGCCGAGCAGCGTCTCACCCTAGTCGAGGCTCCGGAGATGTGCAAATGTGAACATCTGCAACGCTTGTCTCATCAAACGCGAGCAAACAGGAGGCCGGTGTAGCTGCACAAGCTGCAGCGTAACTTCTGAAATGTGGAGTTGTAGGAAAGCATCTGGCGGTTAGTAATCGGAGATGGCGAAGTCAGCGTGATACGACATTTATATGTGGTCAGGCAGAATTACTGAATTTGTGTCTGTTAAAATCAAGTTGGAAGCGCTGATTATAATTGATAAATATAATAATATATCAATCGAAACACTGGGAGCTATCTGATGATGTTAAACAAGCTGTTATTTTTGTGAAATGTAATTCAAGATCATCCCGGTTTACATGATATTAAATTAGGGTTTTTGAACATGTCAAATTTGCAAGTTAATGTTAATTTGCTCAGATAATAGTCAGCTACACAGAAGCTTTACATTTATTAGGTGTAAATAGACAATGTGTAGCTTCACAAGCTGCAGCATATATTCAAGAAAGTTCAAATATAACATGAAGCACAACTGACAACCCTTTACAGATGCAGGTCTATGTTTAATTTGAACAAAACCGTATATTACTTAAATATATTATGTTTTAGAGTTGGCAATAATACAAAAAGTAGGAACCGTACTGGCCAATCAAATCCACTGAGCTACACAGATGTTGCACTTTACTTTGGACAAGTGTAAATATTAGCCAACAGAAAGCGAGTGAAGCTTCAAAAGCTGCAGCATAAATTCAACTAAATATAGTTTTCGAGGTTCAACTGAAAGTTTTAGACGTAACTGCCAATCCCTGGCAGATGTAGGTGTTGCTTTATTTGCACAAAAACATACAATACTTAAATAAATGTGTGTTTTGGAGAGAGCAGTAGTAGAAAAAAAACAAACTATGCTAACCTGACACGTTTTTTTTTTTTTTTGCCATTTTTATTTATTTTTAAATTTTTTTTAAAAATATAATTAAAAACTTGATACTTTACGTGATATTAAACAGTATTTTACCACATTTAGCTTTTTGAACATGTCAAATAAGCAAGTATGTGAGAATTCACTTTGTTAATTAAGCTAGCTGCACAGATGGTCCACTTTACATTTAGAAAGCCAGCGTGGCCTCGCAAGCTGTAGCATAAGTTTAAGAAATAAAGTTTTGGGGGTTTAAATTTCATATTAGACTATTAAGTATTTGTGATATTTTCACAAACTCATACAGTACATAAATGTTTGTTTCAGAGTTAGCAGTAACATCAAGTATGGGAACTATGCTAACTTAGCTAATTTTAGCCATTGCATATTATTTTTATAAAATGTAACTCAAACTTTTTCCATGATATTAAACAGCACTTAATCAAAGTAGGGGTTTTCAAACATGTCAAACTAGCAAGTTAATGATAATTTGTTCAGTTACTACAGAGATGCTCTACAGGTGTAAATATTAGCCAACAGAAAGCCAGTGTAGCATCACGAGCTGTAGCATAACCTAAAAATACAGCGTTATGGGGTGAAATTACATATTAAATATGACTGCCAGTCCTTTGCAAGTGTAGATATTTGTTTTATTTGCACAGAATCATACAGTACATAAAGAAATGTGTGTTTCAGAGTTAGCATTGTTGGAACGTTTAGAAACTATGCCACTCTAGCTAACTGTTTTTAGCCATTGTTGTTATTTTTGTGAAATGTAATTCAGAATCTTCCGAGCGTAAGCGATATTAATCAGGTCAAACTGTGTCAGACGTGTGACCTTGCATTTAAACGTGGCAAATTAGCGAGTCAAAGATAATGCGGCGAGTTAATTCAGTTAGCCACACAGCTGCTCCGCGTTATATTTAGCAGGTGTAAATATAAACCAACAGGAAGCCGGTGGAGCCTCTTTAGCTGTAGCATAACCTCCAAAAATACCAAAACAATATATAAAACACAACGACCGGTCATTTGTAGATGTAGGTATTTGTTTTATTTGTTTAAAACATGAAGAAAAAAATAGCATTTTACAGTCAGCAGTAAAAGAAAGATTGTGAATTTTCTGAGCTAGTGTTATTTCATTATTGTGTTGGTGCTGTATAAGTTATCAGTCAGGCAACAAATGTGTGCAAAAAGCACGACAGGAAACAGGATAAAACTTGTAAAATCAAAACAAGACATAAAACCCTCATAGGATACAATTCTAAAATACAATAAATATTAAATGCTAAAATGTTGAGGTCGCTAAGAGCAACCAAAAGCCATTAAAAACACGTATGTCTTGAGATTTTTCTCCGTAACATCAATGGTGGAGGAACATTTATTTGAAAGGTTGTTGCAGCGCTCCAAACAGACTCGATCTCTTCCAGCCACCAGGCTCGATGGTGGATCAGTTAACAGCAGCTTGTCTGATAACCTGCGAGGCCTGGAGGCAGAGTAAGAGCAGAGTTCTGAAATGTACCCCGGTGCCAGCATGGCTTTATAAACAAATAAAAGAGCCCTGAAATCAATTTGTATTGAACAGGTAGCCAGTTGGGCCGAGCTGCCGGTCATTACAAAGGTACAGTGAGTTGGAGTAGTTTGGCTTTAAAGCGATTAAAGCCACAGTCTGGAGTTCTGTTGGATTGGGTTCCTCAGTTTTTTTAAAAACAAAATTCAATCCAAAACCCAAATTTACACGACCCCAAGTGTCAGGTCAAGTGTTTCATCTAAACATGTCAGATTAGCAGGTTATTGATTACTTAGTCATTGGATTCAGTAGCTACGCAGCTGCTCCACTTTACATTTAGCATGAGTAAATATAATTTAATGAGCAATGCTGGAAATTCATTTGTACGTATGGTACATGACGTACCTTACTGTGTGAGTGTTTCTGTTTTTTGCCACTTACATTGTTCATTATATTATGTGCATTAAACAGAGAAATTACATGAAATTAACTCAATATTTTGCTCCTGAACAATAAAGTGCTGTTAAAATGAATTAACAGCGAAATGCAAGACGACTTAAACCTTAATAAAGCAGCATTAACCAATCTGGTAAAGCTAATAATACTCATATTTTTCTGCGTTATAAATATACTTCCTTACTTTTGCATTTACTTATAATGTGTTGCTATTTTTGTGTAATTAAGGATCAGATTATTCCGTCCATCGCCTTTAACAATCTCCAATTAAGAGCCTGTTTGTTTGTGGTGCAACCTGTTTCCATTTAGCGATGCATAAATCTTTACTGATTAAACACTTAATGTTATAACCAGGCTAAAGTTAAAGCTGGCAACAGTAAATGTTCACAACGCTGAGAAGTTTTCCAACTTGTGCCCTGTGAACGCTGTGAGTCATTTAAAAGCAAGCGGTTGTCTGTCATATTCCATATGGCAGGAACTAATAAAATGTGAATCTCTGCCTTTGAATTGTTCAGGGAACAGGTGTTAGCTTTGACTACCTTTTTTTTTTTTTTATTATTATTATTTTTCCCTGCCAAAAGAACATTGAATTTCCGGCTTTGTACAAGCTCCCTAACAGCTTCACTTTGTGATCCACATTTAAGCATCTTCTAATCAGCCTCAGTGTGGAGGAAAAACTCATTAAAGGGTGCAATTTAAGGCAATCTTATTCCAGGTATTACAAACATCGACATCTGGTAGAATTAACATTGAACTGGCTGGTTTGAAGCGCTGCTCCGTTGTTATCCCGTCTTTCATTGCCCTCAGTAGTCTTTAATTAAAGCCTGAATGCAGGTGAGGCCTTTGCCTCTGTCACAGTACGGCGGGCTAATGCGAGTCACGACGGGTCACTGGGTTTCTGCTTATTCGCCGCCAAGAGCGAATGCCGTGAACATTCAGTAGAAAAAAAACAACCCCACCTAAAATCAATTTAGGATCACCTTCCGCCGCGTTGGAAATTATATGAAAAAGTAAATGAATGGAAAATTGGACCAAACAAGCAGCAGAGTTTTCATTTGCTCCTGCGTGAAGGTGAAAGAGAAAAGGGCCTTTTGCAGGTTCTCTGTTTTCTGTCTTCTCTCGCCGTCTCCTGAAGGTGCTTAAACTCCATTTGATGCTCGTCATTAAAATTTGATGTCGCGAGATGAAAGAGACCAAAACACAGAGGCAATAGGAATTCCTCTGGCGGCGTTTAAGCATCGAACACAGAGGGTATTTTAAGCAGGCGTCAATCAGGGGACTGTTTTGAGATGTAAATTAAATTTGTCCTCTCTATTTTAGATTTTTGAAGCCTCTCATACGAGG